TTTAATTTAGGTTTAGTAACAAAGAAATTTAATTTAGGTTTAATAATATAATTTTTATAAGGATAATAACTAAGTATTATGTTAGTTATCAATGATTATTCTAATTATATTTTAGATTTTTTACATTTAAAATAAGATATTTATCCAATATTTGATTATGTTTATCTGTAGTTAGTTAGACGAATTCAAGTATGAAGCTTTAATAAGTTGTACTTATGCACAATTTACTTGTAATCTTAAATTTTAAGTAATATGCATCCATAAACAGTATTTTATACATAAAAAAATCATTTTTATGAAATTTTGTCAAATACTTTGTAATATAGTATAGATAGATAATTGCTCGAAATGAAATTGAGGGGTCAAATTGGAGAACTCTTGAACGTCAAATGTTATCCTGATTTCGTGCCCAGGTACACTGAAATTCCCAATCAAAGATTGGGGATTCTTTGCTTTTCGACCAAATTTTCAAAAAGAAGAACACGAAAGGCAAATTGGAAGAGATGGATTGGTGGGTTTCTATGCCAAAGGTGGAATTACATGCCCATCTTAATGGGTCCATTAGAAATTCAACTCTACTGTATTCTCTCTCTCTCTCTCTCTCTCTCTCTCCCTAATTGTTTTGATAGCTGAAACACACTTGAGGCTTACTCGAGCGAATTCAGATGATGAAGTTGTGATAAAAGGAATCTATTGTGCAGAAACACACACTAAAGGGTTTAATTGCCCCAACAAATAGGATTAGAATTGTTTTACGGTTCTGATGAGCATAATATGTGATTTTAAGTTCGAAAATTGAGTTTCTAGCATGAACCTACCAACAGATTTTTTTTTTGGTTATCAAGGGATTGATTTAGTTGCACGTTGTAAAAAAAAGCTGTGAGTTAGCTTCAATGTTAAATGTATAACTTTTCTGATCAAAAATCGATAGAGTTCAAACTTTTTAAGAAGAAAACTATGCTTTTATCACTTGTAAGAAAATTGATAAGTGCATGTGTCCAATTTGCATCTATGCTATTGATTTTGGTTTACAGATCCTGTTATTGTAGGATGATATTTTAGACAATTGATCAATGGTCAAATATTCTTTCTAAATTATGCATCATGCCATATGATTTCGGGGCTCAACTTGATGGTTTCTAACAGAGATTTATTTCAACCCTAGTATCCCTTTGGCATTTGGAAAGTACCATCTCATAAACCAGCAAAGTGTAGCTCTATCGTTCTTCGACGTAGTATCCTGATATATACATGGAAAGCGTAGGATCTATCTATCATTTTTGTGTTTTGATGAATATATGTTTGTTTCATATAATTTCCCACGGATTTGATGCTGAATTTCCAAATTGCGAACAGAGAACTTGCTAGAGATATGGGCGAAAAGGGCACCATTGTGTTTTCTGATTTCGAACATGTTATCAAGAAAAGTATGCCTTCTTCCACGTTTCTCTTTTAGTATCTCTAATATTGTTTACTGATATTATTATTCTCATTGGCTTTCTCTCAATGAAAAAATGGATTCATTTCCCAAAATTAGATGATCGATCATTGCGTGAAGTGTTCAAGTTGTTTGATCTGATCCATATTGTTACTACTGACCACAAAACAATTACAAGAATCACTAAAGAAGTATGGTAATTTCTAACTTTGTTTAGTTTGGTCTTTTAAGCTTGTACAATAATTGTCTCTTTTTTCTTCATGTCTTGCAGGTTGTTGAAGATTTTGCAGCTGAGAATGTGGTTTATTTGGAGTTAAGAACAACTCCGAAGGTACCTGAATGTTATAACTTCGGAAAACTGTTGGATAAATACCACTGCAATGCATGAAATTGTTTTATTGGTATCAGAAAGGCATTAAATGCAAATGTTTTGGTTTCCTGAATAAATGTCTTTCTTTATCCCGAAGTAGGGAAATTTTCTACTTTGTTTAAACCCGTTGCGGTTACATTTTGTCATGGGTGCATTGTTATTTGGATAGACGGCTATCTTGATCTAATTAAAGTTTACAGAGGAATGATTCAATAGGTATGAGCAAGCGGTCATACATGGAAGCCGTTGTGGAGGGTTTAAGATCTGTGAGTAGTAGTCTCGACATCAACTTTGCGTGTGATTATCCCGAGAAATCTTCTGCTACAGCGGAAAAGAAGATATATGTTAGACTTCTACTCAGCATTGATCGTCGTGAATCTACTGCAGCTGCAATGGAAACCGTATGTTTTTGCCAAATCCATTTTCAAATGATTACAAGTTTTTACATTTCCAAAAGCCAACAACATTGGTTATCTCTTGTGTTGAAACTGTAATCTTTTAGGTTAATCTTGCTTTGGAAATGAGGGACATGGGTGTTATTGGTATCGACCTTTCTGGCAATCCGACCATTGGTGAATGGTAGGATTCAAACTTTTATCCTGTCGCCTTTCCTGTTCGGCGTGTGTTGTTTCCATAGTATTTGAAGATTATTTTTGAAATTTTCAGGGCGACATTTTTCCCGGCTTTGAAGTTTGCTAGAGAACAAGGACTTCATATTACTCTCCATTGTGGCGAGGTCCTTCTCTCTTCTTAGAATATCTATTTGATCTTCCATGCACAAAAAGTAAAGTTGTTACGTGAATGTCTCAAGTGTCTTGTATTCCTATAAACAAGATATTATTCATTGCTTATGCATCATGAATGCTTTCCATTGATTTAAGAGCTACTCGTATAAATTTTTTATCCTTGACCTTGTATGGAAATGAACTCTATTTGGGATTATTTATATACATTGTCTATTTAAATAAGTTTATACGAACGGTTCTTAGGCAACAGCCTTTGCCTCATAATGGCTAAAAATAGACTTATATAGGCTCAAAGGTTAGTGAGTCATTTTCATGGTCTAGAAGCTATCCATGTAAAAGAAATCACATCGAAAGTCTGCAGAAATACACTATATTTAAGATTATTACTTATAGTCAGTTTAAAGAGTTTTGACATGAGTGGTTCTTGAATGAAGTATTTCGCAACCTATGCGAATAAGTTACTCACTAGATTTGCATCATTGGGTAGTAGATCATGAAACACTTTCTAGTTATATCCCCACCTCTGGGTGGGATATACTTGGCTCGTTTGGTTTACGGATTTATACACTAATGATTCTTAATCAAAGACAATTGGCTAACAATCCCTGTAAAGTAAGGAGTTTGTTTCTTAGCAGCTTAATGAGCTTAATGGGACTGAAACTTATTCAGTCAGCTATGTATAACTGTTTGGTAGTGGCTTAATGATATAGAAAATAACTTATTCAGTAAGCTTCTAGGGGGAAGCTTTATGCAGGAAGCCAAGTTTTTCACAAACCATGCCCTTCCCATAATCCACAGAAACAACTTTATCCAACCAAACAACCCCTAAGATCCTCATTGGATAATAAATCACGGGATGCTAGCTACTATCTAAGAGAAGTTCATGTCAAAAAGTTATACTATGAGTGTAAAGAAAGTAAACTTTGTTTTTTTAGATTACAATAACTAGTTTACTTCCATCACATAGTGCTTGTAGGTACCTAATCCAGTTGAAATCCAAGCGATGCTCCACTTTCTTCCTGGAAGAATTGGGCATGCATGTTGCTTTCAAGATGAAGAATGGAAGAAACTGAAATCGTCCAAAATCCCGGTAGATTCCTGTTCTTACTCTACCAACAACATGCTTGTTCGTCTTTTCTAACAACTTTTTGAAAAATATTCATGCTGCATATCTGCAGGTTGAAATATGTTTGACATCCAACATCCAAACCGAGACAATTTCTTCCATGGATGTTCATCATTTTGGTTAGTTGTTCTTTCTCATGCTTCTAATGTGAAAATCTTAAAAAGGTGGAAATAAGAGCCGTAAAGGGCAATTCATCTTTGTCAATTAACATTTTTGTTGTGGGTCTCATTTATATGGTCCAGAAATGAGGGGCCCCTTATTTAAAGTGAGGATAAACCTTCCTAGCTCAACCAGCAAATAAAGGTCAGTCCTTTGGGCTCCTCTCCTTAGGTCGCCGGTTTGAGTCTACCTCCAATGGGAACACCAAATCCATAAAATTGGTGTGAAAATTAAATTTCTCCAATGGGTAACACCAAAATGTAAGATACTAGGTATATTCCTTTTTATCTTCTCCAATTGCTGTAAATAAATAGTGTTACACCAAATTTGCTTAGTTACTATTTGGCGTAAAAGTTGGTATTCCGGTTGGAGTAATTTGGTATCAAATTTGGTATTTGGTATAATATTTGGTGCCCCCTTTGGAGATGGTCTTAGGGCCATTAGGATCTTCCTGGGTATTATTTCAGGACCTATTGCATCAGTCAAGGTTTGCGCAAGCTAGTCCAGACATCCACCGTTACCCAAAAAGAATTTGGGAAGATGGATCTCATCGGTTTGATGTAAGCAAAAACTAAGATGGGCGCACAATGTGGATCCTATCCGTTTGATGTGACCATAAACGAGACTCGCAAAACACATAATCATATAAATGAATATAACCTGTAACACCCTCATGTTTTTTTACAGCCGAGCTTTACAAGGCAAAGCATCCCATAGTCCTTTGCACGGACGACTCAGGGGTATTCTCCACGAATCTTTCTAATGAATATGCCCTTGCTGCTAATACTTTCGGTAGGTATTATGTTATCATGACAAAATTATTCACAACCCTTGGATTCATGGACCCCATATGTCAAATGGATGCAAAGAAAAACATTCTCTCCATCCCAAAATAAATGTCCATGATGAAAAAGACACAATTTTGGAAATAATTATTAAACAATTAAATGACAATACTACCCTTAAGGGGGTATTGAATTTCTTTATCTTATCAATAATGGTAAAACTGGAAAGTATATATTTTTGAAAGTGAACACTTATTTTGGAATTTGGGACGGTTGGGGTTTCAGTTGTACTTCCAAGAACATCTTGGATGCAAAAGCATCCAAAGAGACGTGATTAGTGATTTTGTTTCATCTTATTTTGGCATGAAGGTCTTGGAAAAGCAGAATTGTTTGAACTAGCAAAACGAGCAGTCAATTTCATATATGCTGGAAACAGGGTAAAGATGGAACTAATTGAGGTTTTCGAATCAGCTGGTAGGACACTAGAGTACAACTAAAACAGCACAAGGTACAAGTAGATAGGTATTTATGATGTTGCTATGCATTCTTTCTGGAAGACAATGGTGAGATTTCGAAGTCTTCATTTGTAATTGAGGGAAACTCATGAGAAGAATTATAAGTAGTAGGTGTTAATTGCAATCATGTCCACTTAATTGGTAGAAGGGCCATCAAGTCAAGAAGACTCTAAGGGTGAAAACAATAGTCAAAGTGTATCCTTTGAACGAATATACAAGCAAAAACATCAATTAAGCGTTGCATGACCATATGAATGAAGGTAATGGTATTACTAGTTATAATTCCGTGGTTGCCCAAATTTTATATTGATATACTAAAAATGTAATTTCACAATTATTCAGTTATATTATTGTATTATCGTTTATTATTTAAATATATTTATATGATGGCAGAGAAATTAAAAGAATACAAAAACAATTTCATCGGATAGGTAAGGTTTCATACATGGAATAACCATTTTACTTTTTCGAGGTAAATGTTAGATTTGTATACATCTTATCTCAATCCCTCCTCTTCTCACATGGCAAGTGGGACATAGTGGGATCATTTGGCTTTTTAGTTTTACCTGTGAAGGTAAAATTAATCAAATATTTTAAAAAGTTGCTACCAATATTTACATGTCTTGAACTCCATTAGAAATTGTCTGATCAAAGGTTTAACATTCGATATTCCTTATGCATTACAATATTTTTCTAGAAACCGGTTTGATTACATCAACCAGGGACCAATCAAGGGTATGAGTAGTTGACCGATCTCTAAAGGCTATAAATTACCATAATGGTTAACAATTTGACTATAAGAAGAATTGGTCCAGCATCTTGACGAAAACAGTTGTGTTACTCTTTATGGTAGATGACAGGTATGTTGTATGCATACTATGCCAGTTTGATTTGATTTGGTGAGGGTAATCAAATTTCAAATTATGTAACTATCATATACTAGAATCTGTATCGAATTCGATCTTGGTTTTGTAGGAGCAAGTCAGAAGGTAGAACCATTTGATTTGATTTTCATCCTACATAATAGTATATTTATTTTTCCTGTTAATAACTAACCAAACGATGATGATAGCATCTCTCTAATTTATGAAAAAAATTCAATCTATCAAAAGGCATGTTCTTATGGACCACACCCTATTATAAAAGGTAGAGTTGTGCTAGACCAAATATATGATAAATCTAGGTAAATGTACAACTTCTGATGCATATTCTACAATCTATAATTACAGCATTACTTCTCTAGTGAAAAGGGATTTACCAACCAAAAGCAAAGCAATCTTTCCCACCTTGGACAGAGACTCAAAAACCACCACCACTTCTTTCAATTTAAGAAGCAGCAAACCAACATTCTCATATCTGCCACCACCATGTTCCCAGAAAAGAAGGGTGGTGCTGTGGTGGCTCCAATTGAGATAGGGACCCATGGAACGGTGGGTAACCTCGTGATGAAGGAGATCGAGTATTACAAAAGACTTGAGTCGGACCATCAATGCTCTTTGGATCCTGATAATGGAGGTGGTGCCAACTTTTGGCGGGGTTTCGAGTTCTTGAAAAATAGATGGCAGAGGAAGAAGAGGAAGGGTGGCAGCGGTGATAAGTTTTTGCCCAGGGTGTGTATAAAGGTGAATGTTGCTGAGAACCGTCGCAACCACCACCATTGTGCAAACAAGATTCCTGGGTTCAATTACCATAATCTTCAATCTGATGCTAATTAATTTAAGATAGCAAGACGCATTCCAGATGATATCATCAGTAAAAACAAGTGAGTTGTACTCTATAATTCAACAATATATATAGGCCAATTATCACAATTCTGTATGAATTATCACTTTTTGGTTTCAGAAACTTCTGTTGGCAAATATTCAGTCTGTGAATAGAAAAAATAAAGTCCACAACTTGTTTATATTATTTTCCAGCATTCTACATTCTTTAATTCACCTTACATCTTGATAATTAAACTTGTAATCACATTTTTTGTTTCTTCTTTGTCATACAAATAGGATCTAATCTTTTCAAACATGTTTTAGATAAAAAGAAGAGAAAGGGCTTAAAATATTAATACAAGATACCCATTTCTTGTTTCTATATTGCTCTGGTTCATGGTCGCTTGGTTCTACTTCCCATGGGTTGAGTTTGCAACTCAAGCCAACTACTTCAGTTCAGAAAAATCTCAACATGTTCAAAAAAAAAATGTATAACCGAACCCAATCAACCCTTATCGGACCGGATCGGGTTGGCCAGGGTAAACATTTTTTTTTTAATTATCAGGTCGAAACTTAAAAGACAATAAAATCAAGTTTTAATGGTTGATACTTAACCACCAAAAATATTACAATCATTAGAAATACCAAGAGAAAGAAAAAACAAATAAAAAAGTTTGAACTGAATTAATCAATCAACAATGTGTACATTCCGAGAAACATTTGTTGATGAAAAGCATACTCAAATTTGTACACAAATGGCAATGAAAATGTGTACATTCCGAGAAACATGGCTTATTTAAATCTAAGACTAGCAGTTCATGAACCGAATGAATATATGTTGCAGCATTCCCACATGGGTTTCATTGATTACTTTTGTGACACTAGGCAGAAAACTTCATCCAAAAGACTTTCGCAAAGAAAGAAACGTTATATCTACAAAAAGAATTGTGAATATGAGGTACATTACATTAGAACATTTATTTTTTTATCTAAAATATCTGTACCCAAAAATAATTTTACTGCAAAGAATTCCTACGTAATTATGATTATATTAATCTTGGTTGATATGTGATGAAATGAAGACTCAGTACACAATATAGAGAAGGGAGAACAAAGGAAAATGGTATAAACCAATAAAATCTAAATCATTTTGCTCTGGCATCAAAATCTGAGACTACAGTTGTATAAGATAATAAGAACGATAAAACAGCATAGTATTATGACTATTATCCCCCAGGGGGAACTGAGCACAGAAATGCAGGCAAGCACAAAAAGATGACGCCTGCACCTCTTCTACCTACAGATTGCTTATTAAACAATACAAAAAGCCACCAAAATTTTGTCAATTGCCCAAGAAACAAATGAAGCCTTTCAAGCCACACACATAAATAGTGCAGGACTGCTTTTAAACAAGCTACTATCTTGACAAAATGCAATGACTGTAGAAAACCAAAACCAAGCTGGGTACTAATGCTGACCCAAAGAGCAATTTATGAATGCAGAAATAAAGGGATCCCGTACCTAGTGATGTTAACTCGTACATTGCAACATGAAGAACATATCATATTATCATCCACATACCATGTCAAGTATACTCTATTTGGGTAAATTCTCTTCTACTTCATCCCAGATACCAGCATTCTTAGGAAACTTCTCCTTCATTTGTCCAATAAGCTCCTTTGCCTCATTAACCTCTGAACCGTTTGCAAGCCCTTCAACAAGTAACTTCATAGTTGAGAAATTGGGAACCCAATCCTTCTCTATACTCTTCTTGCAAACCTCCAATGCCGTTTTGAAATCACCACCTTTACATAGATAATGAACCAGTGTAAAGTAACAATCACTATCTGGTTTAAATCCACCACCGATCATCTTCCTGAATAAGTCCTTGGCCTCATCCAAAATACCCTCCTTGCAATACCCATGAATCAAATGAGAGTAAGTAACTGAGTTAGGCTTCATACCCCTTGACAGAAGCCCATCAAGCAAAGCCTTAGCTTCCTCGGTCTTCTTAAGCTTACACAAGCTCTGAATCCTAATGTTATATGTTCCAATCCCTACAGGCACTTCATGCTTCTTCATCATTTCCAACACCTTCCCAACCTCCTCAAATTTTTCCTCTTTGTAGAACCCAGCAATCATGGTACCAAAGGAGGCTGCATTTGGCTTACATTTCTTTCTAACCATCTCGGCAGTCACAGAATAACATGAACTCGCTGAACCTGACTCACAAAAAGACTTGATCACAGTATTGTAAGTGTCAAGATTAGGCTTCACCCCATATTTCCCAGGAAACTCAAGATAAACACGCTTCACCTCGTCGTATTTTTTTGCCAACATACAAGAAAAAAGCAGAGCATTTAAAGATTTTGCATTTTGAGCAGCACCCAGTTGGGGCATTTTATCAAACAGTTGGAATGCATTGTTCAACAACCCAGCTTGACCATAATAAACAATAGCGTCAGAGATGAACTTGTCGTTGTTTAAATCTGGTCGGGTTTTAAGCAACTCGTCAATGAAATTGCGGATACCCTCGAAGTAATTCATTTCGGTGAGCTTCTTAATGGCGATTGAAAAGGCAAGGCGATCGAGATGGGATTCCGGCGTGAGTGAAGCTGCTCGGCAGATCTCAATAATCCGTTCTGGGTTTTTCTCGAATTTGAGGAGAGAAAGAGCGGCCCGTGATTTCTCTTTGCTGGAGAGAGGAGTGGTGGAGTCCGGATTTAGGATTGATGAAAAATGACGAGCTTGAATTTGATAAATTGAAAACAAAATGCGACGATTACATGAGTTCAGTATTCGAAACCTGGCAACTGAAGCCATTGATTTTGAAAGATTGAAGTTCCAATCCAAGACCGAGAATAGGGGTTTTGATTTTGGGAACTAGGGTTTTGAGTGAGATTGTCAGGAAGATTTCTACACAAAAAGGGCTCAAACTATCTACATTATATCACCTTAACCCCTTATTAACTTTTTATGAAATTTTGAAAAAAAACGTCATATTATTTTATTTCCATAAAATGATTTTATCTCCAAATTGCATACTAATTCCAAGAAACATGGAAGAAATGAAAATAATATATGGAATTAAACATGATAAAGAAATATTATTTAGAATTAGATAAAAACTTTTTAAATCTTTACTGCATATAAAAGTAAGGCTTGAAATATATACCTAAAACGGTCAAACAACCATTGTCAATGTACCAATTGATCGAAAATTATGAATTCAGAAGATCAAAAGGTTTGGTTGATTCATTACGTGATCCATACCTACCATTTTGCAAAAAAGAGTATGACCACACTTTTTGTATTGCCTCTATGGTACCAATCTCACAACCATCATGAGAAGGTAAATTGTGTGTCCACCTCATGTTTATTTTGTAAAGATGTCTATATTTTACCTGTTAGGTTAAAGTTGTAAGGATAAAATAGTTTGACTATTGAAATAAAACACCATGTTACCCTCATGCAAAATTGGAAACCAACCGCAATGATGGTTAATCTGTAATCGTGGATTGTTGAACATTTTAAATAAATATAAATGATGAAGCTGTAAATTTTGAATACTTTTTGAAAGAACATAGTATAGTAGTTAAATAGACATACACACATAATTAGTTTACTTACTATTCCATTTCATCACTTCATACAAAATAAATATAATTATATAAACACGAGATAATTGTAAAATATGTTTTCAGATACAAGATGGATATGAGTACAAAATGATAAAGTGAATACGACTTATTGGTATTCTTCCTCTTGAAGCAAGCAAGAAACATTACAACATTAAAAGTCAAGCAAAAACGCATGAGCATAAGGTATGGCTTTCGCTTCATAGCAAACAAAGAGAATCTTAAAGGACTACAAGCCACATTAAGTGACATGAGTTAAGTGAAAAGTGCATGAGAGAATGAGGCATGATTAAGTGATTCTAGCTTCTGATGGAACAAAAAACTTGAAGGACCAGAAGTGACATTATGTAAAAGTACATGGGTGTAATAAATAAAAAGAGAATTAAGAGTTTAAAAGATTGAACCCGACGTGAATCGAACACGCAACCTTCTGATCTGGAGTCAGACGCGCTACCATTGCGCCACGGATCCTGTTGCAAAGTCTCTTCTAACTTATCATACTTATAGGTTAATTGAATCCAAATCGATAAAATACTAGATTTGATTATATTTAAAGGTGGAAAATTCCGCCTAAGACCATTTACTAAATGCTTACGAGGCAAGTGCTTAGTGAAAAGTCATCGATTTCACTTACCATATTGTGTAACATTCTCGACCATCAAAATGAACTGTTGTAAACGTCTTTTACTTGATAAGCGCTTACCAGGATAAAAAGTTTTTTCTCACTAATCGGGTAAAATTCTTGGTTCTTGTGATACCTCTTATCAGATAAAATTGTTGGTCTTTTCCAAGCTCACTTGTAAAGTAAGTGATACCTGATTAGCGCTTACCCGTAAGAGTTTGGTAAATAGCCCCTAAACATTTACGAGCCTAAATCATTTAATTGAAAAATAATTTTTTTTTTGTACAAATTGTTAGTCCCGAAGGGGATGGCAATAAACAGAAAGTAATTGTAGAAGGGGGGGTTGAATACAATTATACAAACTTTTTTCAACTTTTTAATTCTTATTGATTTATATCAAGAATTAATACACACAGAAATACAAAAGATTGTTGCGGAAGATAGGAAAGGAAATCTAACCTAAACAATCTTACAAGGAGAAAAATTTTCAAGAAGAACACTAAGATTTTCTTCGCACACATGAGCAAGGGAGTAGAAGAGAATAGCCGATTGCTTTGAGAATGCACTAAGTAATTTTGCAAAAGCCAGTTGTGTGCATGGGAGATGCACACTGCCTTTTTATACTACCTTCAACATTTAATGCATGGGGACACTTGTCACCTGAGGATAAGAAGATAGAGGTTGACTTGACCATTGTTGATATCTTATTTTCATCGTACACAACGTGCATACAATACTGTTCATGCAGAGACAAACTTTTGCAGAGATACGGTCAGTCTATAGGAAGATCTCCTTTGGATGGATATGTAGCTTCAAGCAGCTACTCACAAATCTTCGGTCCATGAAGATTTTCAATCTTCGGTCCATGATCTTCAATATTGAGTCGATGAAGATTTTCAATCTTTGGTCCATGATCTTCAATCTTGAGTCCATGAAGATTTTCAATCTTCGGTCCATGATCTTCAATCTTGAGTCCATAAAGATTTTCAATCTTCGGTCTATGAAGATCTTCCTTCAATCGGCTTATAGCATCAAAATATTTTCAATATTTTTTTCAGCTACTTTGGAGTCTTGGTGTATATATTAGACAGTTGATTCACAACATCGCATCGGTGACCTTCTGTCTTCACATCGGCTAGTCTTCGATTTTGCCAATGGCTTAAGTATGTACCAAGACACCAATATACAAAGAATCAATAACTACTAAGTGTTGCTAATGTAGAGGAACAGATCAGTAAATCATCACCAAATCAATAGGTGACCCAACAATCTCCCCCTGTTTGATGATGACACAAACACTTAGAAAGAAATAAATAGAAGAAACACAAACTCTAAAATTCTTTGAGAAGAAGAATTTATAAATTCTGTGACCCATGTACATATTCTTTTTGGGTTCTTTACTTTTCCTTTTTTTGATTTTTTTTAATAATTTTTTTTAACTATAAACATATATACAAAACAAATAACAAATCAGAGATAAAAAAAAAAACTTTGAAGTGAATACTGAAAAATCAATTGCATCTATACTAGACAATGAATTAAATACTTACAGTGAAGAAGATAGTTCAAGAAGAAGAAGTCACATAAAAAAACTAGCAATCATCATCTACTTCCATAACATCTTAATCAGCCACTGCAAGAACATCTCTTCTCTTCAGTTTATCCGAGATCAATGTATAAAAGACTCTTCCGGCTTCACCAATTTTGATTATACTTAGTATCACGCACAATAGCTGAGAATCAGCTATAGCCTATAGGTATCTCAGAAGCTCGAAAAAATCGAAGGCAACTACTCGCGTCCCAAAAGAATATTCCATGCTCAGGAGCGGACAAGATAGTTCCTTCCGGATGACAATCATTTGAAGGAAGGGTAAGATCAAGATGTGAGACATCAGGGGCCTCACCTTCCTTTGATAATTTCTGAATAAGCGAGTCTTGATTATTGATGGACTTTGAGGCAGAAGCAGATTTAGAAGAGCCAGCTTTGCTTAACATTTGCTTTAGAAAGGAGAGTTGTGGAAGGGAAGACAGCTTGTAATGTATCTTGATCATTTGTATCTTTTTCAGAAAGCGATACAAATGACTCAAGACAAATTTCTTGTACATACTTCTGCTTTCATTAAGAAAATTGATGATCTCCATCCACTCAGTAAGACCGTAGGCATTGATCCAAGATAGTTTTTCTGTCCTCACTACTCTGTTTTCTCAACCAATAATCAAATAGATCAGATTTGAATCATAGGTCAATTTTTGAGGATCTTTGATTCTGGCACTGACAATTCGAGTAGTAATGTAGTGTCGGAGAATTGAGTCATTAAACCATTTAATTCTTTTCTCTTTGGTTTCTTCAGACTCAGATAGTGGGACCAAGGAGTGAGATCTGTTGGCTTCCTCAAATTGCTTTTGAAGAGCAATTGATTTGGCCACATCCTCAGTAGAAATACATAGGAGATGAAGATCAGTTTCTTGAGGACATGAAGCTTTAAGMACAAGTCTATCKGCTGARGAGACTTCAGATTGATATCTAGCAATTTTAGCTGCTTTAGCTGCAGCAGCTTCTTCATCTGAGGTCATAGGTGTCTTTCCTTCTCTATGAGTTGGGACTAAGTCCCCAGAAGCAGTAGGAATATCATCTTGAGAAGGTATAGTACCAAAACCAACAGATAATGAAGGCATAGAGCACGGTTGCTCCCCCTCAATAGGTACTGCAGCTCTATCATCATGATCAAATAGCTCCCCCTCAATAGGAGCATCACAGTCTAACTCAGCTGAGGAAGAAGAGGTAGAAGTTGAGTCCTCGTCCCTGTTTTCACTGATAGTAGGGTCAACTGTCTTCTCCCCCTCAGTGGGAACAGGGGAAGGCACATGAGCATTAACAGGGGGACCCTCCACATTGTCAGTGGAGGATGGCTCATAAGTAGCAGCACGGGAAGAGAGAGTAAGGGGAGCACCTGTGGCACGTAGCAGACGTGATATACCACGATCAAGAGCACCAAGAAGACCAGAATCAGACTTAACACGGCGACTGACGTTGGCTAACATAACCCTGTCCGCTTCCATGAACTGACTAGGACCCAAGTCAACAAATATCTCTGTATCTCTGTCTAAGAACAACTTGGATATATGTGTCTGTGCATCCACCTTGGAGTGTAGATCTGCCAGACAGTGGAGAATTTCCTGATTTGTGGCAGCCTGACTTTCCGATCGAGCACGAAGATCCACTACAGCTTCAGAGATACTAGACTGAGAATCTGAGAGAGCAGTCATGCGAGCATCAAGAGAAGCAACCGGATCTCTAATAGTTGTAAAAGCAATGCCATGATTTTGCAAGGTGGCACTGTGCTGGCGCATCTCAGAAGTGAGGCTGGAGTCAAAGAAGTCCAATGTCCCAGATAAATCAGTGCTGAGGGAGGTCTGTTGAGAGATGAGTAGCTGACACTGAGATGAGAAACCCCTAAACATGTCGACCACCTTAGTAGGTAAGACATAGATCACCTCAGGAGGGGTGGGAGCTGAGAACCGAAAGCCCAATGCAAAAGGAGGCCTTGAGGGAGAAACAACAGCTAGAGTAGGGGAGCAAGCTTT